TACCTCCCATTAACTTACATGGTTTATTCTCATCTAAAGCAGACAGACTGCTGGCAGATAAGAATTACTGCGCTGGTTAAAACAATCCTTTTTCATTCACTTATCCAACTCTGGGGAGCACGGCACTAGAAAACATTTCTGGATCTTTCCCTGACAGATATCTAGCCCCTCATAACTTGATCCCAGCTCCTGGATGAAACACCAGACATTTTATTCCATGTAGGACCCTAATCCACCTAGCTATGTGCCCCTGTTGTAATATTAAATGCGAGGAGTCGTAAAAAGTAGCATAACAAAACAATTTTATGGAATAAACTGCAGCTAGTAGCCTTGAAAAATAACTTACTTGAGCGTCTTGTTGGTTCTGGTCCATTTTACTGGTGCAGGTGAAACTCCCGCTCCAGATCAGAGCGGGTATTAGCCAGGCTGTTAGTGCGCAGATGCGGCAGCCACACAGGAAAATCCACAGAGCGTCAAAACGAGCGCACCCCAAAGAGGTTTGTTCCCGCCCAGTCCCACAAGTCTTTCTATTGGCTGAGCGGTTGCTAGGAGATTGTACTTCTAAGTTTTGAGCGAGAGCAGACAAGATCCGTGAGAGCAGGGGACAGACTTGAGGGAGGAGTTTTGATCCGTGCAGAGAAAAAGCTGTCACGTGAGAAGACAATACCAGTGTAAGAAGGTTAAATCTGAGCGCAGATACAAAGATTTGAAGGAGAACAGAGTGAATTTGAAAGAGAGCAGACATTTTCAGCGCAAGCATTACAAGTTTTGAGAGCAATAATATAAAATCTTATTCTGAAATTAAAAAGTTGGTCTCTTGATATGAAATTCTGCTCTCAAATTGAAAGTTCAAGTGCTCAATTTCTGGCACTTTAATTCTTCCACGCCTTCAGAGTGCCAAAACTCCCAACAGCCGAGCGAGCAGAATCAGAAACCGAGCGTGCAGAAAGGCTGCCACACGCGCAGTGAGGCTGCCGCACCGAGCGCGCAGAAAGGCTGCCACACGCGCAGTGAGGCTGCCGCACCGAGCGCGCAGAAAGGCTGCCACACGCGCAGTAAGGCTGCCGCGCGCATGTTTTCCTCTGCCGTGTGCTCGTTGGCCAAAGCGTGCACGCAGGTTTGTCACTTGCGCATATCCTTGTGCGCTCACAGACACAGTTTGCTCCCTCTCAGTGTACAAATGACCTCCTCGCCATGTATATTTTCACTCGTGAGGTTCTAACCTCCACGCGCAAGTCCCGTTCGCATGCGCGATGTGGACAATACGCGTGCACAGGTTTTGGCGGAAACCTGACACCATAGAATCTGCCTGTTTTTCCTCTACATCGCCCTCTTCTCCGCCTTCACTAACATCTCTGCCAAATACCGAAGACCTGGAACAATGTTATGTTATGTTATGTTTATGTATTTAGCAGACGCTTTTGTCCAAAGCGACTTACAAGTGATAATCAGCATTTTGCCCTTGAGGCTAACAACAATAGTAACAACAACAAATTGAAATCAGTCATGGAGAGGAAGGAACAAGGTGTGGACAGTAGAGAGGGGGGACGGGTGCAGACAAGGTGCTAGTTAAGAAGATGCTCTCTGAAGAGCAGGGTCTTCAGGAGTTTCTTGAAAATAGAAAAGGAAGCCGCAGTTCTGGTAGTGTTAGGAAGGTCATTCCACATTTGTGGAACGATGCATGAGAAAAGTCTGGATTGTCCTGAGCGTGGTGTAGGCACTGCTAGCCGACAATCCTGTGATGACCGGAGCGGCCGGGCCGAGACGTAAGCCTTTGCAAGAGGATTCAGGTAGATGGGAGCCATACCATCTCTGACTTTGTATGCTAGTGTTAGCAATTTGAATTTGATGCGTGCTGCTAGTGGTAGCCAGTGGAGCTCAACGAACAGAGGGGTGACGTGTGCTCTTTTAGGCTGATTGAAGACCAGACGCGCCGCTGCGTTCTGGACCATTTGAAGAGGTTTCACAGTACAGCCTGGAAGACCAGTTAGAAGGGCATTGCAGTAATCGAGGCGGGAGATCCATCCGCTACTAGATTCCTTTCCTGTTTAGCCCGCCTTCGTCTCCCGGCAACGGACAACAAATTCCGGGGTCAAACGCGCTGCTTCGTCTCTATTGCAGATGTAGAAAATCACCGGGAGAGTTTCTTCTTTCATACAGGAGTAGGGCTGGGGTAAACGATTATTTTTAAAATGATTATTCTGACGATTATTTTATCGAATAGTCGACTATTCTAATGACTATTTAGACAATTAATCTAATGACTATTTTCCTATTGCACAGTTAATAAAAACCAAAAAATCTCTAATTAATTCCTCCAAAAAAGTGATCAATTGTTACTGTAAGAGAATAAACACTACAGGCCTCCCATTTTGTTTAACACTGCTTTTATTGTGTTGTGGTTGGTTATGTTCTGGTGACGTGTAGAACTTGGAAGTGCAGGCTGCTGCCTGAGAGGTGGTTGGAGACGGAGTGTCTCCATGCTGCTTTGTTTTGGTCACTTATGTGCGTGAGGCGAGTGGTGTTACGACACTTCCTGGGGAGTTTGGCTCGTGTGCAAAAAGGAAGGGACAATAACACAGGATTTAAAAGTTAAAATGATGATCAGGTTTATTTACAACAACAAAAATACATAAATCTTTCCATCCACAGGTTGAGAATAATAAAACTAATTGTGCCTGTGGGGAATTAAAACAAAAGTACAAATAACTAGGGATGTCCCACTGGGCAAAGATTACTGGGTTCTGGACCAAAATAAGGATGTCCAAAGGTCCAAACTCTAAACTGGGTGGTTAAACCAAACTCAAGGTGATATTTTAAACTAAACCGAAAACCCACAACACACACAAAAACTAAAAAAGCATAAAATGGGATATTTTGCCAGACTCTTGACATATCCAAGGCTGATTTAAAAAAAGTTTTTTCAGTCACTCAAAATATGTTTTATGAAAAATATCTCCTCTTTTGTCTGCTTTTTTCAAGAAAAATGAGCATCACATAATCAAACTGGCATATAAAGGGTTAAGATTTAGATAAATATTCAATATTTGATTATTTGCGATCAGAGCTGAAGTTGATCCCAAGATTTAGACCCAAAAAGCAGAAAAAAATATTAATTTGGACCATTTATAAAGCAGTTTTAAAAGTGGACATTTTTGTCCTATAATGGCTTGAGTGTATATATATGTATATAGTAAATTTTTAATCTGTTGCTATATAAAAACTATAAATGCAAAAAATTCAAAATTTTAGATATTTCATAACATAATCAAGACTGATTTGTTCTAAACACCCCAGACAAATAAGTATTTTTTTTAGGAAATAACAGTTTTAGTGGTTTTTCTTTCTTTCTTTCTTTATTTATTTATTTATTTATTTATTTATTTATTTATTTATTCATAAGTTACATCAATGCCTTTGAGTATTCAAACTAGGATTGTCACGGTAACCGGTATAGCGGTAAACCCCGGTAAAAAAGTTGACAATAAAAATAACCGTCCATTTTTTAAAAAACTATATTATCTCGGTGGGTTTACCGTGGCCGCGGTTTCGGCGCGGTGACCCTAACCAGCCACCGTCGCTTCAGCTGAAGTTCCCGCGGCGCGCGCACACACTGTTTAGTTTGCAACGGCACCAAAACTTTGAAGCTGAAATAATGGCCGAAGGAGGAGACGGCAGCGCCCAGGACATCCATCAGCCCTCAAAGAAGACTAAATCGGAAGTATGGGCATATTTTGGATTTCTGAAAAATGCTGAGGGACAGTTAATAGAAGACGGCTATCCCGTCTGCAGAACGTGCAGGAAACAAGTGTCTGCAAAAGGCAGCAACACTTCGAATCTAATGGCACGTCTGCGTGACGATCACCCACGTCTCTACAGCCAGTGCAAGGTAAGTTAACATTAGCATTTTAGCTTAAATGCATGACTTGAGGACTTTTGGTTGAGGGAGAATGCAACGAGACACTATATACTGCAGCCGCAGCGTCCTCTGCCAGCATTTAAACCGTGTCACGGACACCCTGTTGCTGTATGAAGCATCTTATTTGTTGATGATGAAGAGAAATATACAATTAGTTCCTTGTCATTGTTTTGTTTACTTATTCAATGCCATTTATACTTGAACATTTGGATTTGATTACATAGTGTAGTAGTTATTTTAGTAATTTGTTTAAAGTGGCTATTTATTTTAAATACATATTTTTTAAGGTTGACTTGTACAGCGCTCAAGTCAAGTGTGGACTGGAGTTTTAGATTTTCATTTTGATAATGAAGAAAACAAGTATATGAGAAAACAAGTGGTGTTTCTTTGATTTGTTTACATATTGTTTATGTTTTGAATGTTTGGATTTGTATAATTTAAACCTGCACTGACTACTGTAACACGTTCCAGAAAAAGAAGCTATTTGTTCCTTTACTTGTGAAAAGTTGCACTTTTGCTAAGGCTTTGTGTTATTTTAGGCTTAATAAACACTGTTAAACCTTTTCTAAACTATTTCTGTTTGTGTAGAACAGGACTATCAATGCTTTCTGAACATATGCAACACCGTTTAAAAAATACCGCGATAATACCGAAAACCGTGATAATTTTGGTCACAATAACCGTGAGGTTAAATTTTCATACCGTGACAACCCTAATTCAAACTGGCATTTCAGGGGTTAAAAGCCTCAAAATGATTGAATTTTTTTATGTTTGAGCAGGGCTGAAGTTGTTCAACAAATCTATGAAAAAAAAGTAAAAAAAAAAACATTAATGTATACATTTTTTATAGCCACTTTTACAAGCGGACGTTTTTGTCCTCTAATGACTCTTGTATGAAAATTAAAGTGAAGCCTGAGGGTTAAGGCTCATATGATTTATAGAGGCTCAAAGTTCAGTTTCCAGTTGTAAATACATTTCATTCTACTGTCAGTTTAAAGAAATAATACAACTGTTATATGTGTGAAAACACAGTTACAGCTGTCTCTAATTCACATATGTTTCTGTGTTTCCTACAGATTTTCAACAGATGGTTCTGGTTAAAGAAGAAGCTTCAGAAGAACAGAGTGCTCGTGTCAACCACCAGCATCTAGATTTTCTCCACAAAAAGGAGGAACAGGAGAAACTCTGGTCTAGTTTGGAGGGAGAGCGTCTCCATTTGAATAAGGAGACTGATGCTGCCAGGCTTCAATCCTTTAGCCAAAAAACACATTTAAACAAACACACCAGAGTCCAGACAAAGCAGAAACATTTTGCCTGTGAGCACTGTGGACAAAGGTTTCACCAAAAGACTCATTTAACCACACACATGAGAGTCCACACAGGAGAGAAGCCTTTTGCTTGTGAGCTCTGTGGAACGAGATTTAGCCGAAAGACACATTTAAACACACACATGAGCGTCCACACAGGAGAGAAGCCTTTTGCCTGTGAGCTATGTGGACAACGATTTAGCCGAAAAGAGTCTTTAGATGAACACATGAGAGTCCACACAGGAGATAAGCCCTTTCTTTGTGAGCTCTGTGGAACAAGATTTAGCCAAAAGACAAATTTAAACAGTCACATGAGAGTCCACACAGGAGAGAAGCCTTTCGCCTGTGAGCTCTGTGGTAATAGATTTAGTGAAAAGGGAAGTTTAAACAAACACATGAGGGTCCACACTGGAGAGAAGCCTTTCGCCTGTGAGCTCTGTGGTAATAGATTTAGTGAAAAGGGAAGTTTAAACACACACATGAGAGTCCACACTGGAGAGAAGCCTTTCGCCTGTGAGCTCTGTGGTAATAGATTTAGTGAAAAGGGAAGTTTAAACACACACATGAGAGTCCACACTGGAGAGAAGCCTTTTGCCTGTGAGCTCTGTGGTAATAGATTTAGTGAAAAGGGAAGTTTAAACAAACACATGAAAGTCCACACAGGAGAGAAGCCCTTTCCTTGTGAGCTTTGTGGAAAGAAATTTAGCTTAAAGTTCATTTTAAACAGTCACATGAGAGTCCACACAGGACAGAAGCCTTTTGCTTGTGAGCTCTGTGTAAAAATATTTAGCTTAAAGACACATTTAAACAGACACATGAGAGTCCACACAGGACAGAAGCCTTTTGCTTGTGAGCTCTGTGTAAAAAGATTTAGCCGAAAGACACATTTAAACAGACACATGAGAGTCCACACAGGACAGAAGCCTTTCGCCTGTGAGCTCTGTGTAAAAAGATTTAGCTTAAAGACAAATTTAAACAGACACATGAGAGTCCACACAGGAGAGAAGCCTTTCGCCTGTGAGCTCTGTGGTAATAGATTTAGTGAAAAGGGAAGTTTAAACAAACACATGAGGGTCCACACTGGAGAGAAGCCTTTCCTCTGTGAGCTCTGTGGAACGGCATTTAGCCAAAAGACACATTTAAACACACACATGAGAGTCCACACTGGAGAGAAGCCTTTCGCCTGTGAGCTGTGTGGTAATAGATTTAGTGAAAAGGGAAGTTTAAACAAACACATGAAAGTCGACACAGGAGAGAAGCCCTTTCCTTGTGAGCTTTGTGGAAAGAAATTTAGCTTAAAGTCAACTTTAAACAGTTACATGAGAGTCCACACAGGACAGAAGCCTTTTGCTTGTGAGCTCTGTGTAAAAAGATTTAGCCGAAAGACACATTTAAACAGACACATGAGAGTCCACACAGGACAGAAGCCTTTTGCTTGTGAGCTCTGTGTAAAAAGATTTAGCCGAAAGACACATTTAAACAGACACATGAGCGTCCACACAGGACAGAAGCCTTTCGCCTGTGAGCTCTGTGTAAAAAGATTTAGCTTAAAGACACATTTAAACAGACACATGAGCGTCCACACAGGACAGAAGCCTTTCGCCTGTGAGCTCTGTGTAAAAAGATTTAGCTTAAAGACAAATTTAAACATACACATGAGAGTCCACACTGGAGAGAAGCCTTTCGCCTGTGAGCTCTGTGGTAATAGATTTAGTGAAAAGGGAAGTTTAAACAAACACATGAAAGTCGACACAGGAGAGAAGCCCTTTCCTTGTGAGCTTTGTGGAAAGAAATTTAGCTTAAAGTCAACTTTAAACAGTCACATGAGAGTCCACACAGGACAGAAGCCTTTTGCTTGTGAGCTCTGTGTAAAAAGATTTAGCCGAAAGACATATTTAAACAGACACATGAGAGTCCACACAGGACAGAAGCCTTTTGCTTGTGAGCTCTGTGTAAAAAGATTTAGCCGAAAGACACATTTAAACAGACACATGAGAGTCCACACAGGACAGAAGCCTTTCGCCTGTGAGCTCTGTGTAAAAAGATTTAGCTTAAAGGCAAATTTAAACAGACACATGAGAGTCCACACTGGCTTTTCGCCTGTGAGTTCGGTGGAAAAGATTTACCCAAAAGATAAGTTTAAACGGTCACAAAAGAGTCCATAAAGGACAGAAGCCTTTTGCTTGTGAGCTCTGTGGACGAAGGTTTAGCTGAAAGAAAACTTTAAACAATTATCTAAGCATCCACTAGGGCTGAACGATCTTTTGCAGGGGTCTCCAACCTTTTTCTGCCCGTGGTTTACTTTTACACAATGAAGTACAGCAGAGTTACTGCCATATGATTTATTTACATTGATACTTTCCATGTGTGAATGTGCTTATGTTAAACATGCTATACTTACTATATTAACATGTGTAACGTGAGGAAATATGGGTTTTCTGTGCAAAAGGTTATGCTGGGTCAAATGCTGGGTCGCTGAGAACTTTCACCCACAGATTATGACCTGAACGCCAGAGAGTCTGGGAGAAACCACAACATCTGAACACCTGCAGCTCCAGCCAAGGAGTTCTCATGGAACAGCTAGTCATAACATAACAAAGTTAAATTTACTTTTCTTGATATTAATGCTAAATAATCATTTTATCACTTTGCTCATTATAAATGTGTTTTAAGCAAATGAATGATTATTATGCTTTGGGTAATTATAATGGATTAATGAATCCATACTTAATTAAATAATGTTTGAGGATGTTTGTTAACGACCTTCACACACACTCAAGCACACACGCACACACTCAAACACACCCACACACAGATTCTCACAGTAAACCCCAAACACATTTGCTGATGTACAAGTTTTGCTTTGAGAAGAGAACTGGGTTTGGTAAGTTTCTGTCTGATGAGGGAGTTCGAGTTGGTCAACGAGAGAGAGAGGACGTGAACAACCGCTAACGGGGGAACGGAGCCCACCGGCTCCTCTCTCCCCCCACCCTCTCACGCTGTTCCTGCCAAGCCAGACAGGACAGCTGAATTACAACCGCTAACGCAGGCTCGTTCAGAGCTTTTGATTTTCTGAGTGAATTAAACTTAAGAAAGCGCATTTACAAACGTTTTTCCGTCAACATGTACCGCGGGCATCTCTGGACCGGGTCGCGGACATCTACGTCTCCTCTGCCAGCCGCTGGTGTCACCTGGATGAAACATCACCATCCTCTGGCGTCCCGGATCCGAAAGAAGGTCCGACTTTAGGTGAGGCAGTCCACGGCGGATAACGTTTGATGCATCTTTTCCAACGAAACCTAAGTTTATTCAAACCATCACTTTTCACTCAGACACCTGTTTCTTCCTGAAGCAAAATCAGACGCACACACGCATCCATAATCATATCACATCACCTCATATTCAATCTTCACACACTCACCACAAGGTCTATTTGAGCAAGCTTAAAATATCAACTGTTAAAGATTGTCCAACAAAGTTGCCAATGTTGATTGTTATTTCCCATGCTTGTCATTTCAAAATCATTAGTTTAGTTTGAAGAATTAAATCTTTTAACTTCCAAACTTGTCTCTTTATTGAACTGAAACACAGACACTACGGATATTATTGACAGTTTATCGATGAAAACAACCTTTGAGTCTTCTTAACAATATAAAATTTGGTTATTGATTTATTAAAAATTAATATTCCGAATTAATACGTAGGATGGTTCCTCTTTCATAAAAGTGCCTAAACCATTCGGCTACATTTTTGACGGAGCCAACCAGTTTTTTCCTACACATGCAATGTACTCACAAGTTGATTTCTCTGTATTTCAGTACATCAGTATATATATTTTAAAAGTATAAGTAAACTAGTGACATTCTGAAAACCAAATTGAACAAAACATATTTAGTTTTTTAAACTAATCGGATACTTTCAGATAATGAATAATAAATCTTCATGTGAATGATTTGGTAATTTTTTTAGAAGGTTAGTAACATAATTTTTTAAGCACACAGGAACAGCTAACCTGTAAAGCTGATGATATTTCAAATAAAATACAAGCTAAATGTGATGAAAACACAAAAGTCTAAATAGTTTGAATTGAAGTAAAAAATGTAAAATCAGAAATAAGACTTGTTCCTGCTCCTGATTTACTGAATAATTTTTATGGGTTTTTTAGTCATGAAAGTTAAGTTTTACTGCGTTTATTGCTGACAACATGAAGGTTGGAGGTTTATCCTTTTTTTCTGCATCTTGTAGGTTTTTTTCGCTCACGAAATCCGGCCGCTGCTCGCCGCTCCTCAGTTCAGATCAGACGCGCCCCATTCGAGGCGCGCCTCGGCTCAGCTGTAGTTTTTCTTTTAACTACTTGGTGTCCTCCATTTCCTCTCTGCCTTTTCTCAGCTCTTTTCCTCTACGCGCGCGTGTGTGTGTGTGTGTGTGGGAGCCATTTTAACTGAAGGTATAGTTATTGGTTTTGACACTAGATGGAGGCAAACCCTCTGATCTTTTGAACAAGTCACTGTCTCCACCTCTATTTAATCATGGTGCAAATGGGCACAGGTGTGTTGGATGGAGACAGGGGCAAACAGTTTTGGACCGTGCTGAAGCAGGTTAGATTATGTTGGAACTTACAGAAAGAATTGATTGATTATGGGAACAAATGTAAGATGGAGCTGTAAGAAAATAAAAGAACATTTTATTTCACCCCACGCGTCAACTGGTCTGTCCTCTTCCATCACCTGTGGTGGATGCGCTGACGTCGTTAGGTCCGTTTTAGGGGGGCTTCAGCCCCCCTAAAATAATCACAAGCCCCCCTATCATTTTGGTTTATTTTATTTTTTCAGTAAACTTTTTTTTATTTGTTCACATCTACATGCTCAACACAATCACGACACGTGTAGTTGGTACATGAGTTTTTTTTTTTAGTCTGAAACAGAAATAATAATTAATGAATATAGAACTACACCGTCGCACACAGGAAGTATCAAGAAAGGACTTCCTCCCCTTAAGCCCGGCAGCTTTGTTGACAAGTCAGGGGCAGGGGTTATACAGCAAAACCTTTATATCGATGAGCAAACCCTGCTCAGCGCTCTTGTAAGTCACTCAACATCACATTAGGGTAAGACAGCAACAGCAGCACACCGTTAATATTTCAAGGTTATAGTTCAGACGAGAGAGGAAAATGCTACCGCACCGACATGCTAATGCTAACTCCGCTAGCATGTTTACATGCCGCAAACCATAATGAAAAGCCGCGCCATAGTTAAATGGTCGGAAAACTCCCCTGAAGTGACGTGATTAACGAGCCAGCCAGTTCATTGAGTGACTTAGTGCCACCAACTTGAGCGTACAGTAATGAGTCTGCACAAACAGAACTTGCTCTGCGCTTGTGTGCAGGAGCTGCAGCCCTCTGTGGGCTCAACTCTGTCTCTGCGATGCAAATCTCTCCCTGCTCTCCTCAACAAGTAGCCTCTCCAACAGTCAGTCACAGACAGCTCTGTTTTATCCAATCAAAGCATGTCCAGGAAACACTGCTTTACAGAAAAACACCCATTTAACAGCTTATTGAACTGCTTTCTGCTGCTGGTTAGCTACCAGTCACCATCCACTGCCTGCAAGATACTTTGTTGTAATTCATGTGTCATGATTAGGGTGACCATATTTGACTTCCAGAAAAGACACATTGCCTATTCCTAAAACTGTCAAATTGCACTCTTTTCAGTTAAAGAGGACTTTTAATTTCAATATATAAAGTGTTTGTTCTCTGTTTGGTCAGACATAAATGAGCCCTTGATGTGTAAAAGGAAGTGAACAGTGGAAATGTCCCAGGAAAAGAGGAGGGTTAATCAACCTAATTAAATATAATTATATAAAGTCCTCTTTATCTGAAAAAAGTGCAATTTTCCTGGCAGTATTTCCTGGACATGCTTTGATTGCATAATGGAGAGCTGTCTGATTGGCTGACAGAGAGGCTACATTGCTTTGTAAATTGCAAATTGAGCAACAACAGGGAGATTTGTGCAGGCAGAGACGGAGTTGAGCATGCAGAGAGAGGGCCGCATATGACTGCAGAGCAGGTTGTGCTCTTGCAGATTTATCACTGCACGCTCCAGTTGGTGGCACAAAAATCACTCCACACTAAAAACCTGAATCAGAATATGGCCGAATGTGTATATTATTGACCGTTTTTCTATATTACATATTTTTTCTATAATATATATATTATACTATAGGTACATATATGTATCTATAATATAGTAAACAGCCAGTTTTATAATGTCACATACCGTAAATCCTCTAATACAGGCCCGGGCCTGTATTTGACTCAAGCTCATCAAGCTCCAGGCCTTTATTGGAAGGAGGGCCAGTATTAGAGGCAGGCCTCTATTTCTATTTGAGCAAAATGAACTAATGGTTCGCTGGAGTCTTTGACAATTAAAATTGCGCCCACATTTTCAAAGTTAAACACATTTCTTTTAACAACGGTAGTTTCTGCCTCAGCCCTCTCCCCCCTCCCCCTGCGCAGCGGCCGCAAACTCACTGATGCACCTGCAGCCTCTCGGAGTTCCTGCTGCTCTAGACATTAAAATAATTATTTCATTTTCTGTTCCTCACTTCTGATTACCTTCAATGGTGTCTGTTTGTTGCAACCACCAGGTACAAAAACTAACTTGTTTTTATTTGACTATTTTTCTGTCCTGTCTGTTTATTATCTTCCTGCATCTCCTCTCAATCCTAAAGAAAAACTGCTACCTGGGTTCATATATATTCACCTCATGAGTTACCTTTGAACTGCAGTTCTAAAACATCTACCGACCGCAAAAACAGCGGAGCGCTCGCTGTTTGGCGGCCGTATCAGTGATCAGTGCGTCGGAGGACAAGGTGATGCCCGCAGCGCCCCGCTCCACAGCATGCAGCGAAACGCATCAGGCGCAAATAAAAGACAGAAAACATTCAAGGAAATGAACTGACATGAACGATCGCGTGTTAAATTAGTTTTTGAGGTGGCGACACCTGATTGTTACTGTGGCCGTGCTCAGGAGGCAGATCTACCGACCGCGAAAACAGCTGAGCGCTCCCTGCTTGCCGGCCGCATCATGGATCTGTGAGTCGGAGGACAAGTTGATGCGCCCCGCTCCACAGCAGCGATACACATCAGGCGCAAATAAAAGACAGAAAACATTAAAGGAAATGAACCGACATGAACGATCGCGTGTCAGTAGCTAAGGTCTGGCACAGCGCGTTGCTGATCACAGAGAATGTGATCATACGGTAATTCAATAGGGAGCGTGGTTTCACAGACGCGGAAGTGAGAGCGTCGGTGAAACGCCGGCTGCTCTAGGAAACCCCCGAGCCTTCGAGTGTCAACGAAGTGACACGGAAATGCCGGGCTTTCCAGAAGTAAGTAAGATAACTTACTATGAGCTGATAGTTCGTTGGATTGATTGGTAGGTTGGAAACTCTGATCATGAATCTGAAGAAACGATGACTGAGTGGTGAGCTGGAAAGGCGACTTCCGTTTGGTTTATAGCCGCGGTTTGTGACGTAGGTGCGATGTAGAGGGAATCCCCGCGAGGGGCATGCTGGGAGTCCCTACTTCGCGGATTTTCACCTATCGCGGCCAGGTCTGGAACGCATCTACCGCGATAAACGAGGGATTACTGTAGTTCATACACCCCCTACTGCTGCTCTCCAGAGTGTTCTGCAGTGTAATCAGCATGTTCTCTTTGAACTTGATAGTGTAATGACCTGGCTGGGGTTGTAAGCCAGGTGCATTCTGGGTATTGTGTTATATGTGTTTCCTATCGTCCTGCTAGTTCCTATGTGCTGATTTGCGTGTTGTGTGAGTGTTATGTAAGCCACAGGGAAGGTGATGTGTGTTCTGTGGAGCGGGTTGAATTAGCATGGTTAACTGACACCGTGACTCTGTGTGGTAGGAGCATGATAGAGGATCGTGTCTGTAGCGTTACAAAGCGTTGAAAAAAAGCCTAATAAAGGTTTGCGTGAACCCCTACTGCCTCCTGCTGGTTGATTTGGGAACTATAACCCTGCCGCTGGGACGCTCGTACTTGTTTGTTACCACATTCCATCCGGCCACAATAAGAGACCGGCCATTATTTACCTCCGCTGACTCTGACACCGGCCAAAATTGGAGACCCGGCCTTTAATTGAATACCGGCCTGTATTAGAGGATTTACGGTATATTCAAAAGCTACATCAAAACATATATTAAAACCTATATGTTTATATGAATTCTTTCCATGTGGGTTGTCAATTGCTTAATATTTCCTATGTTTACCTATGGGAAAGAAAGGAGATATTGTACTCGTCTAACTTTAACATAAATTTTGGCAGCTTAATGTGACATTATGGAAAATGCCATCATCATGAGCAACCAAGCATAGGCTATATTAGGCTAACAGTTGTCCATATTCTGTCCCATTTATCCACCAATGGCTGTTTCAGTTATTGTGAGTGAAAACTAAATGGCATAGAAGCATTTGTCTTGGCATTAGAAATTGAAAATGTTTTTCAATGTGTTGGCTAGATGGATATAC